CCTCACTCGGGGATCCAGTCACAGGCATCCTGATCATATCCTTCAGGACCTGGTGGTCTGTGAATAGATCTGAAATATCTGGGGACAGAGCAGCTCCTCAGGGTGTATTCAGCCATCCAGCAAACATCCACTGGCACCTGTGACCAGCTGGCTGATAAGATAGCCATTCAGCAACAAGTTTTTGTGAGGAGACTAGAGCTCAGGTTTCACTGTATTGCCCAGACTGGTCTCAAACTCCTGGGCTCAAGTCATTCTCCTGGCTCAGTCTCACCTTGCTACCAAGCTCAGATGGCAAGTTTTAGTCTGCTCGGCTCAGGGAGCAGCATGGCTCCTGCTGCCCTGGAGTTGACATGCTAGTCAGGGTGAAAGACAAACTAGTACTCAGGTGAGCAAGTAACTTATGTTTTGTTACAAAGAAAATGTAACAGGGCTGAGTCAAAGCAGGACAAGTGAGGAGCATCTGCTTTGGACATGATGGTCAGGGAGGGCTGCTCTGAGGAGGAGGAAGAGTCTTGGGACAGACATCTCAAGGAAGAGAACAATCCCATTATGAAAGGGTCTCAGAGAGCAATAGCTATCAAAGGCTTCAAGGTTATGAGTGTGGTGAATTTGCAAACCAGCTCTTTGAGTTGGGACAAGTACCTCACAGACAAGAGGCAGACAGAACAGTAGACAGACAGACAGACAGGTTGGCAGGTGCTCTATCTGGACAAGACCATTGGGGTTTCACCAGAGGGCTGTGGGAGCCCAGAAGGAGAGACATAACTGCTACAGGGATATCAGAAGAGGTTTCTGCAGGAGAGGAGCCGAGGGCTTTGTCTTCCAGGCCCAGTCAGAGCACACTACCTTGAGAAGGAGAAAAAGGGAGAAGGGCCCACACCAGTCCAGGAGGCAGCCATGACCTCTATGTGGTGGACACGGAAGGTGGCGGGGAAGACACTGCAGGTCTGGGGCTTTGAATGTCAGGGTAAGGACTATGCATGACAAGTAGGAGCCATGCAAGTGTTAGAATAGAGGAGGGACAAGGGCTGCATGGATGACCAGTAAGTGGGAGGTCAGAGCGGGAGAAGCCCAGAGAGCTGTTCCCGGCTCTGCCTTCTTGGAGGTCATGCCTCTCCAGTCTCATTCCTCGAGGCTCACCTGTTTCCAGCTGGCTCCAGCTGATCCTCAGGAAGAGAGGACTATGGGTCATCCCTCGGGCTTGGTGCAGCAGCCCCCAGCACAGCAGTAGTGTCCACGGCAGCAACATTCTCCTGTTAGGACCTGTGGCCATGAAAGTGAGAGCTTTTGTCTTCTACAGGGACCTGCAGCCCTGTGTCCCCCGCTCTGTACTCCCATATCCATCTTCTTATGTTCTAGCAGTCCTGCTCTGGGCCAGACTCACTCATGGTAACACAGTAAATGGCAGAGCTTGGATCTGAACCCAGCATGACTGGATGCCAACAACCTCTGCTTTATTTCACCATGTGAAGACAGGGCACAGCCTGAGTATGCGGGCACTGTCATTTTTGTCCTTACCACTCTCTGAATGGGACCTTCTAGAATCTCTCAGGATGGTGTCACCAGCTTTCTTAAAGGACTGCTCTTATAAGCCAAGCTCTGGAGTGAGGGGTGGGCAGGTGATGGGATGTCAAGGCCCCTGGCCAGGGCTTGGCACACTCTAGAGTTCTTCCGGGGGAAGAATCACTCCTCTTGGCCCTGCGTAGCCAGGGGCTTTTGGCCAAAACTGATAAAGCCTGGTACTGGGGTGGGGGTTGGGCAGGAGGGACAAGCTCAGAACATGGCCTCCAGACCCCAAGGAGGAAGTGGGCCGGGCATGGGCCCTTTTCCTTGGCACAGCTTCAGCTCTTGTGAGGGGTGCAGAGGCTGCTAATGCAAGAAGGGACTGGCACGGAACCCAAGGGGGTGAGGATGCGTGTGTGCATGCATGTGCATGCGTGTGCATGCGTGTGTGTAGTATGGATGTGTGCGTAGCAGTTGAAGGGCAAAGATGAGGCCGGCAGTGTCTGTGGCTACCTTGTCACTGCCTGCTATTCCCATGCCTTTCGTATGTACGTCACCTAGACTTGCATCTCATTTCTGCCCAGATGTGGTCACCAACATTACAGACAGGCAGGCCCTGGAATGGTTGCTCTGACCGTGTAGAAGCTGAGTAATGGAGAATAAACCATTTTCATTTCCTTCTAAGCCTCACTCAGAATATGATAAGCATAGGTATATGGCTTTGGGGGGATGGTGAAGGTCACTGTGACAACTGTGACAACTCAAACAACGTGAGCACAGGGCCCAGTGCACAGGAAGGGTTAACAAGCTGTTACAACTATTTACATTCTATACATAAGGGAGCCAAGATGCCGACTGCTAAGTGACTCCATCAAGGTCAGGTAGCATGCCCAGGAAAAGCTGGGATTTGATGTCAGGGCCCAGAAAGGGCACCGAGTTTTGGTGGTTCTACCACAGCAGTTTCAGGCCTGAGTTCTTTGCCACCTATTTGTGCAGATGTCCTGCCTTTCGAGGACTCTTCCCCACTCTCCCCTGCTCCTGAATGCATCTAGCTAGGTGAGCACAGCTCCTTCGTTATTGGGTGGTGTGGCCACCCCAGGGCAGACAGGACTATCTCCAGTTGGCTTGGGATTTTCTACATAATTTTCTCTTCGACAACTCAGGGCACAAGCAGGGCAAGCGCTAGCTCCAATTTTCCTTTCTTTTTGTTTTAAACGTAGTTCTTTGAGATTATAATATCATTGTATTATTTCTCCCCTTCCCTCTCCACCCTTTCCTCCATGAGTTCCAACTCTCACCTGGAGACTCAGGGCTGGGAACTGGTGGAAGACGGAGCCCGAAACAGCAGACACCCAGGAAGTGTAAGGCTCACCTTGGCTAGTTCTGAACACCTAACTTCAGCAAACAGCACAGACTGGTAGCAAATGTTCACATGATTTGGTGGAATATTTTGGAGAAGACTAGGCTCATTTATTTAAGATTAAAAAAAACATTTATGTGTAAGTGTGTATGTCTGCATGAGTATATGTGAGCCACATGCATGCGTGTGCCTCGGCAGCCGGAGGGCACCAGATTCCCTGAAATTGTAGTTACGGGTGGTCGTGAGCTGCCTGATGTAGGTACTGGGTCCTCCTTAAGAACAGTAAACACTCTTAATCTCTGGTCCACATCTCCAGCCCAAAGAGTGGGGTCTTTTTTAAAAATTTTATTTAATGTGTATGGACATTTTGCCTGTCTTTATGTCTTATATACTCATATGTGTGCTTGGTATACACAGAGGCTGGAAAGAAGGCTTTGGACTCCCCTGCACTAGAGTTACAGATGGATGTAACCCTTGACATGGGCTCTGGGAATTGAACCCAGATCCTTTAGAGGAACAGCCAAGTGCTCTTTACCACTGGCCCAAGACATGGGTCTTCTTGAAACATGGTCTTGTGATGTTGCCCAGGCTGGTCTCCAACTAGTAATCCTCCTGCCTCAGCCTTCGAAGGAGCTGGGATTATAGATGGGTGTCCCTAAAGGACAATATGTAGGATATCACCTGTAACTTTTTCTTTGCTATTTCTGAGACTCAGATTGAAGAGAAGGAGTTTTCTCTCTGTTAAGGAAGGATACAGAGGCTCAGAGCCCTGCCTGTGGGATCTGGGAACTGGTACCTCTAGGGCTTCCTTTCTCTAGTCAGGGAAGGCAGTTTCAGGGTCTTGTCATTGCGGGCCAGCACAGGAGCAGTAGTTTACTTTCCCTTGGAAGGCAAAAGGGGTGGTGATGAGGAGCCTAGAAGAGCAGGCAGTGAATTGCTGCTAGCTGCTAATTGGTGGTGGTGATGACTTACCAGAGCCCCAGTTTGTCACTTAGGTGAGGGTAGAGTCTTACCATAGGCTGTGGGGATGGTAGGTGATTAGTCATCTCTAAGATCCCTCTAGTGTTACCCACATGGAGTAACATGTGGTCTTGGTTTGGGGTTCCCAGCAGTAGGCTGATACCCATATTTGAGTGGCATGTATCTAGGCGATGACTTGCACAACTGTGGTGAGTGGGATGTGACCAGCTACTTAGGGCACCCAAGCTCCTTCCTGTGGGAGGGCTGGGAGCCACAGGAGAGCTTGAGCCTCAGAGCTGTTCCTTATCCATGGAGTAAGGATCCTGGACTTCTTCATCAGCCACCCAAAAAGGCCCCAGGGGATGATGGACCTGGAGAGCCTTGGCCATAGCTGTATTAGGGAAAGTTCTTCATGTTTCCCCACTCAAATCTGGATGATCCTGCCTTATGGGGAACTGGTGGGCACTACAGACCAGAGGTCTGACAGAGATTGTGTTCTGACACTGAGTACTGTCCCTTCCCATACAGACAGACTATCCCTGTCTTCACATAAGGGCTCTTGTGTGATTGAAAGCTGTGGTTGAGTGTGGGCATAACCCAACCCAGGCCTAAAAAACAGAGGCCTATTGTCTTGTCCTAGAACCCTGGGGCTTCAGGGAAGCCATGGAGACAATGGCCCTCATACAGGCTTTAGTAGGAAAGGCCTTGGTGATAAAGTGTTCCCTGAGGTCAGGTGACAAGTGCCTGTGATGCCATGGTGCCACTGGCTGAGTGCCTAATGGGTACTTCATTTCATCTTCACCTCAGCTCTGCAAGGTGAGAACCATGATTCTTCCCACTTGACGGGGAAGGGCAAAGAGGCCCACCTAGGGGAAGCCACATCCTGTTTGTCTGTCTCCAGAACCACACAGTTCAGAGAGCATATGACCCACCTGCCAAAAAGATCAACATAGTGGGTGTCCCCCACTCAAAAGACATCCAAAAGGGAGGTGATCCCAACCATGGCGACTATCCTTCTGTGACCATGCAGTTTCCATATAACAAAGACTTGTCCAGGTTGGCTCAGAGATTACTGAGCCCCACCGGTGTGTCTGTGTCTGTATCCTAGGCCTGCCAGAGGCAGAGTGACTCCCATGCTGGACAAAACCACCCTGACAACAGAAGCCACTGGCAAGTATTTATTGATTGCAGGGGGATAGTCTACATCGATGGCTCTCACACTTCCAGGTAGGACCTGGCCTGTGTGGGTCAGCTACTATCCAGGTCTTCATCACGAGGGAGAACCAGGGCTCTAGGAGGAGTCTGGGGTGAGCTTGAGGGCACCCTGGAATTGAAGAGGAGTCAATCTGGTTAGATTTTAGCTTTGGTTTGATTTTCACTTACTGCTTTTTTTTTTGAGGGATTACCCTGCTTTTGTCTTCCATGAAGGAAGCCCTGGTGTTGGGGGAACAGTCATGATCTTGAACATGCATGTGCAGAGCATATAACACAGTTGTAAGTGGAGAGTTTGTATATGAACAGCAATTTCTTCCAGCACTCTGGCCCAGTCAAAGTGTTTGTGTGCAATGGCTGGAGTCTATATGACAGTTGTCCTCAAGCCCACAGTGGAACTCTAAGAAATTTTATTAATGCAGATTCCTGGCTGTCTCTAGAGGACACCTGAGTCTTAAACAATTGTCTATTTAAAATCAAATCAAAACAAAACTAGGTGTAATGATAAAACTTGCTCTGGTCTATCCTCCAAGATTGTATTGTGATCTCTTTACAGCTCCAAGCAAAGTAGAAGTGAACGGTGAGCATTGTCATTTGTGTTCTGTCGTCTCCTCACATACTGGCGTTAGCTCACTCTGTTTTTCACTGTCATCACACTAATTTAAATGTGTGGTGTCACCCAGCTATAGAACACAATCAATGAATTTCTGGCTACAGGGAAACCAATAGAGCAAGATAGGATATTTGGAAACGGGGATATGGATCTAGATCTGTGGATTTCTCTATAATTAAATGGGTCAGGAGCTCAGTGGTTCTAACGCACAACTTGGGGACAAATAGGGACTTGTAGGAGGCACAGGTTTGGTCCAAAGTGCCTCTGTAGAGTGAGGCTGAACACCTCATCACAGAAGGGTGGTCAGCAAGTCATCTGTTTTTAGCATCCCTCCCTCTTCTAAGGAGCCAGAGGTTTCCTTCTGTTTTGTTCATTGTTGTGGCCAGTGTCTGTACATAGTAAGGACTTAATAAATGTCCACTAGCCAGCTGACCAAGATGGGCACTTCATTGACTGGCTCATGAAGAAGTTGGGACTAAAGCAAGAGGTTATTGGGACAGGTTTCTAATGCAAATCCTGACTCTGCCACCAGCCCCTCTTCCTAAGCAGAAGCTAGGAATGTTACTTGTTTACCGATCCTTTACCAAACACCTAGTGTGTGTCAGGCCTTGCTGACTACACTGGGACAGCTGCACGGACAACTCAGCAGTAGCTCTGGTCTCTGCAAACTGAGGTCTCTTAGCCACAAGGTGCATGCGTGTGTGCGTGTACGTGTGTGTGTGCGTGCGTGCGTGCGTGCGTGCGTGCGTGCGTGCGTGCGTGTGTGCGTGCGTGTGTGTGTGTGTGTGTGTGTGTGTGTGTGTAGTGTATTCTGAGGTCTACAGCATTGGGTGCTACTTTGTATCCAAGACCTCTTCCTCATCTTTCCTGGAACAGTAAACATCTCAGCCTCAGGGCCTTTGAACTTGGTGGTAGTTTTGAAAGGACATTTTCCCCACTATCCACAGGGTTCATTGTCTTGTCTTCTCAGGCACCAGCAAGCATCACCTTTTCAGAGAAGCCTTCCTTGTCCACCCCATCAAAACTGGCATTCCACTTTCTCTTCTGAGCCTGCCTTCTTTTCCTTCCTAGTCCTTATTTACTTGATTCCATTTATTAGTTTACATAGGTGTCTCTCTTGATAGAATGTAGGCTCTTCCAGAGGGACAGTGTTTTCTGTTTCTGTCGTCATGCCTAGGAGCCATGCCTAGAGGATATTGCACCGCTAAGAAAGATTCCTGAATAAGTGAGTGAAGGGATGAATGTTGACAAGCAGGGTGGGAAAGAGCACTGGTTTTTCACTTACAGGTGCCTACACCCTGACAGGACCAGGAGTGGAGGCATGCAGGTCACCCCCAGCCCAGACTGTTTATTTCCTCATGCCTCTCACCTTAGTCACAGACCACACAGATTTCTCATATCCCAAGGCTTTCACCAGTGACATGGGGATTCCAGTTCTCAGTTTGCCTGAAATAACAAATGTAGTCAGAGAGTGGTGGGTCAGTGTGGGTCTGGGTAGCAGTGGGCATGCTCAAAGATCTGGGATCTTGCACGCAGGACCTATTCTGTTTTCCTCCTTCTGCATGCCTGTCCTCTACTCTGGCATTTACCTAGCCCAATTTGGCCCTCTGGCACCAACTTCTGGTTGTTCCACAATGCACCTCACATCCTCTAACTCTTGCTCAAGAACAGCCATGGCTCCCATCACCCACTGCAGCAGTTTCTCTACCTGAGATTTCCTGCTCATAGAGCAAAATTAAAAAGGTGATGATGTTACAGGTACCAGCAATCTCCACCCCTCATGCATGGTGATGATGTCACAGGTACCAATCTCCCCACCCCTCACATACATCATCTCATTCCCATCTCTGAGGAAAGTACTCTTATTTATCCCTTTCACAGCTGCAGAACCTAAGGCTCAGGAGGACCAGGCAGCTTGTTCAAAGCCAGGTAGCCAGCAAGAAGAATTGGGCACTTGAGCTCAGTCAGCCTATGGCCCCTTGAGTGAGCTCTAGCTGTCTGTTTGCACCTGGTTCTCTCTAGGCCTGTGAATCTGGTGTCTGTCAGCTCCTCCCTGCCTGACTTAGAACTGTCATTCGTAAAGGACCAGGCTGGGAGTGTGGATTCAGGAGGGGAGGCAGAAAAGGAGGCAGAGGGGGATGCAGGAGAGTCTTTTCCAGTCAGTGACCAAAAAGGTACCCTGGAGGAGGAAGAATTTGCCCCACAAAGGGAGGGGCACTATTAGGAGGTGTTGCCTTATTATAGTCTTGTTGGAGGAAGTGTATCACTGTTGGGGATGGGCTTTGAGATTTCCTATGATCAAGCTACTACCAGTGTCACAGTCCACTTCTTGTTGCCTTCTGATCAAGATGTAGCCTTCATCATGTCTGCCTACATGCTGCCACCATGCTCCCTGCCATGATAATGGACAAAACCTCTGAACTGTAAGTGAGCCACCCCAATTGAATGTTTTCCTTTATAAGAGTTTTGTTCATAGTGCTTCTTCACAACAATAGAAACACTAAGATATTGGGTCATGAATAAGAGGGGCCCCGGGTGAAGGCAGGAGGTTCAGCAGCTTAGGAAAGGGCACTGAGGGCTGAAGGACTCACCATTCTCATTGGGCAGCAATGTGTATTCAAGGATCTTGGTCAGGGTGCCCTTCATGGATTCAGGCTGTGAGGAAGAGGGAAGCCATTACTAAGCTCATTGCCAGCTCCTCTGGGTTATTATAGGTTTCCTTACTCTTCCCCATGACAAGGGCACCCAGCAGACATGTGTTGGAATACCAGGTTTCCTGCAGGCTAGAGCTGCCTTGGTCAGACCAGATAGACTGCAAAGAGACCCTCAGTGCTCTGACTGTGGCTGATTGAAAATGCCCTACACTCAGGGACTTTGTTCCAGCTGGAAGCACCCCGAGGGAATTCTGCTTTTGAAGAAAAGCCAGACGTCCAGATTTTCACAAACTTTGCATTAGAATATTTTGTAAGCAAAAATTCATAGAGACCATGAAGTGTCAGGTGTGGTAACGGACACCTACAATCCCAGCAATAAGAAGGTAGGGGCAGGAGGACTGTCAGGAGTTTCAAGGCCAGCTCCAGAGCTACATGGTGAGACCCTGTCTCCAAAAAACAAAACCAAACAAAAACCAACAACAACAAAATAAAGCAAAGGAAAATAAAAAACAGGCAAAACCACTGCCTATAACAACAACAAAACCCAAAATAATACAAAACAAAACAAATCTTAAAACTTAAGACAAGACTCAGCACAGTTGAGTTCTCTTCAGACTAGGGACTTGGGAAATAGGGCCAGAGAGAAGGGGTCACCCATGGTCAATGTGGGGGCATTGTTTTTAATAGACAGCAGGCTTAGATCTGCACATGATTGGTGTTCCCAGCTATCTGCATACAGTTGGTGCTCGGCAAAAATGGCAGCCTGCAGGCCGGACTTTGGAGGATAGTGAGGAGACTCCCTGCTCACTCTTGGGTTCCTGCAACATCTCTTTAAAGCAAATCCTGGGTGGTGTCTCATTTTAGAATGGCCCATTCTGGCCCCAGTGCCCTTAGAGGTAATCTGTTAATACTTACATTGAAAAGCTTAATATTTGAGATCATCAACTTGATGCGGTCAATACTGTAACAAAAGATAACCGTGAGAATGGTCCCTTGGGGTTTCAGTCAGTAACCGTTTATTGAGGACCTGCTGTGTGCCAGGCACAGGCAGGCTTTCATGAGACAATGGTGAAGCAGGGAAAGTACTTGCTTCGTGGTGCCACATTCTAAAAGAGGTGGCCCATGGCCCAAAGGACAGGAAATCACCCAGGAATGAGGGAGGATTGGTGAACTAGTTAGCTCAAGCCCTTTCTAAAGAGGTCTCTAATTCCTATTCAACTACTCATGTAGAAATGCCAGCCTGGGTGATAGAATAGTTTGATAGTTTGATATCTATCTATCTATCTATCTATCTATCTATCTATCTATCTATCTGTCTATCATCATCATCTGTCTATCTGTCTGTCTGTCTAGCTATCATCTATCTATCTACCTACCTATATATCATCTATCTACCTATCATCTACCATCTTCTATATAGCTGTTATCTTACCCTGTTTGGGCTGATCAAAATGCCTCCCTGACTCCAACTTTATCACCAGAGTCTCCAGTTTGGAACCCCTGAACTCAGTCTGGGACAGAAGGTTGTAGACCTTGCAGGACTGACAGGGACACAAAGGGCACTTCTGTGTTGGGCCCCAAGAATTTAGTACCTGGGGCTTTTACTGCCTCTGTCTTGAAATATTTCAGAATGGGCTGTTTTAAGCCTGGGGTGGTGCATGGCAGGCCGGCCCTGTGGTGGGGTTAGCTTGCTCTGTGGCTCCTGTAAAGCTCCTTCGTTTTCTATTTGGAATTCAGTCCTTAAGGCAGATCAGACCTGGCAAGCAGCCTTCTGTCGTCAGCTGTCTCTGGTGTCCCCTACTGGCGGTTTAGAGAAACCCACTGCTCTGGGTCAGCACTCAGCAGCACCTCTCACAGATTCACACATTTACCTGATGTTATTGAAGTTGAGCATAAGCCGATCACCTTCCGTGAAAAACCGAGCTTCATAATTGGTCTCCTGCAACAAGAGAACCAAGCCCCCATTTTTGGAAGAGGATGTATCTAGAGGGAGGGTTATACAGGAAAGACTGGGTTCAAGGAAATCTGATTTGACTCTCGGCTACTGGCTCTGTGACCTTGGGAAATAGTTTTACCTCTTTGGGCCTCACTTCCCATGCCCTAGTCCTGTTCCACTGGTGACAGTTCAGGCTGGAGATGACAATTCCAACACAGTCAACATGTGCTGGTTGTTCATTGTGTGTCAGGTAGTCCAAATGCTTTCTTCAATAAGCCCACCACCCCTCAAGGGGGCCCCATCAGTCCCCTGGTGTCCATGGGAGGGGACGGAAGGGCAGAGGAGGTTAGCGGCTCTGGTAAGACCTAAGCACCATTAATATGATTGCAAAGCTTAGAGGCTAAGTCAGGCTTGACATACGGGGCTCAAGCCTTGCATTGGCTTGACCCAGAGGCCTGGTGCCAGGCTCCATTATAGCAGAGCCTAGAGAACCAATTTTCCCTGCAGTGCTTTCCAATGGCCATGGAAGAGTCATTAGGGAGGTTGGCCTGGGAAGTGGGTTCCCACACTGTCTTTCACTGCCAGGTCAGAATGTCAAGATGAACTCTCTGGGAGGTACCAACCCACCTATAGTCTGTGAAAGGCACCCCTGAGATTGTGTGGTGTAGAACTGCACGTAGAGCCACTGCGATGAGGAGTCAACTCCTCCTACTCACAGCAGGTACTGCTCGTCCCCTTTGGGTAAGCCTGGCTGGCCTCACTCATGAGCCTACTTTTCTCCAGTCTTCTCTGCCTCTGGAGTGCATGTGGTTGCCCTGCTCTAACCCACCCTTTCTTTCCAGGAGGAGGCTCTGTTGCTGAGCTGCTGCATGTTGCCCCTGGAAAAAGTCCCTAGCTGGATATAGCTGCCTTGATGGGAGTTATGGTCCCTCTATCCCTAAGGCTGCTGGTGGCTAATGACTGGCTGATGGGCCCCCAAAGTTCTTGACTCTTGAACCCCTTCTCTCCCCGTTCCTGGGTGATACCCTAAATTCATAACAAAGATCAGGAGGACCTTCCCAGTCTTTGTCCTATGCCACAGACACTTGAACTCACAATGCCTAGGGAGAAGAAGGGCCGGACATCGGTGTTGGTCGGGAACACTTCCAGGATGATATTTTGGGCTGCTGTGGCACCACCCTCATTCAGCACAATCTGGGGGCTGCTGTAAGTGGCAATCTTCACCATCTGGGTGGGCCCCAACTTGTTTGCTGCCTGGAAAGACATCAGACCCACACGCCTGGTCACAGTGCACAGGCCCTCGTGACCCCTCCAGTATTTTCCTGGTGCTCCAGCCTCTGCCCTCTCCAGCACCCCAGTGTGGATGTTCTCTGGTTTCTCAGCCTGGAGCAGGGGCTTAGTTAGAGTTGCCCTCATAACCCAGTGCCAGTCCACCCAGGTAATCATCAGATCAAAGATTCTCTGCTAGAATGAAGAAAGTCTCTGGGCTTCCAGGGGGCCCGGTCCCCATAGTAGAAAACAAGAGAACATCTGTTCTCCACTGTAGAGACCCATGGGCACAGACAGCAAGCACCCAGCAAGCTGCAGGTGAGAAACACACCCACCTCTGCGTTGATCTCATTGATGTCCGCCTGGAGCTGGCGGGCCACTTCAGGAATCTGGAGAGAGGGGAAGGGCTGTGAATCATTTGATTGATGGTGCTGCAGTAAGAGGATCAGAGTATGTGTCCTCCCCAGGCTCAGAATAAATGAGGACCTTGATCAGTTAATGACCTGTGCCACTGGGGTGCAGGCACCATCCCCGTGTTCCTCAGGATCCAGAATGCTGTTAAGCTCCCCCAGGATATTTGGAGGAGGAAACAGGCACACGCAATCCCATAAGACAGAACCAGGACCCAAGCTGGGTGTTAAGGGACACTTTGGGCTCTAGCATACAATGTCAGAAACAGGGTCTCTCTGCAAGGAGGGCAGAGCTCATCATTGCTGGGAGTTTCCACTTCCGTCTCCTTCCAGGGGGCAGATGACACAGACTCAATCGTCCTTTGTCGGCAGTGGGGCTTACCACGAATCGAAGCAGGATCACAAGCTCCTCCTTGGGGACTAGGGTGTCCACAATGGCATTCACCAGGTCCTGCCTCACAAGCAGGCTGAAAGGGGCCCCACTGGGGGTGGTCTCCATCTGGGAAGCCACAGAGCTGTTGAACCACTTGGTCACCCTCGCCTGTGAGTCCAGCAGCTTGGCCTGAGGAGACACAGAACAGGCCATGGTTTGAGGGCTTTGACACTCCATTGAATCCCATAACCACCTGGAAGGAAATGACTGTGCTGAGGGGGGAAGCTGTCTCCAAAAATTCTCATGATGGAAACCTCATCCCTGTGTAACATCCCTGAGAGTTGTGTCCTTTGAGAGGTGACTGGGCCTTGATCAATGGTTAGTGCTGGTTCAGGAGTGGCCTAGTTACTGGAGGTGGGAGTGGCCCATTTGAAAGTAAGCCCAACCCCTAGCTGCCCTTGCTCTGGCTGATGCGGCATGGAGACCCTCACTAGGAGATGCACCATGCGCTTGGGTTTCCTAGCTACCAGGACCATGAGCCCTGTGTGGTCTGAATCTTTACTGAATCAGTAGACTTCTATTGTTTACAAACCACTTAGTTACTGTGTTCTGGTAACGCAAAATAGACTAACACAGATACCATTCTGTCTGCTTCCCATCTTCACATTTGTGTCAGGAAGCTTAGATTGATAAGGCAATGACTGTCAGGTACCTGGCAGCCTCCACTCCTGAGTTCCTTAGATTACCTCTACTCTCCCTTTGTCTCTCAGTTTCTTTTTCTGTCCTCCCCTCTGTCCTTCTGCCTCACATTTAAAGAGATGACACATCCCCATGCTGCCCGGGCTGGCCCCTACTGCCTCAGCTCAAATGGTCCTCTTAGCTCCATCTTCAGAGTGCTAGGATTGTGGGTGCATGCTACCTGTGCTTAGCCTGTAACTGAAATGCTTGCTTTTCACTTTGGTTTCAACCCCTCAAACCCTTTAGTTGAAGGGGAGGATTCAGACCACAGCAGAGCAGATGCAACTATCCCATGCTGTGGTTTCCAAGGGACTCCTGAGAACAGGTCTGGGACTCACCACCCACAGGGAGTACTCCCTGAAGGTATGTGCAGTGCGGTGTTTTCCCGAGTGCCTCCTGTCTGGGAAGCCAGAATGTTTCATTTCATTGTCTCCTAAGCATTATATTATATATTTTATAGCCAAGGAAACTGGGGCTTAGAGAGGTGAAGAAACCTGCCCAGAGCTACACAGCCAGGTAGTCATGGATCCATGAATGTTAAGGCTGTATGATCCTTGAGGATGCCTCTGCCCTGAGGCCATGTTGCAATGTCATCCAAAGTTTGGGGTTTTGCAGGAGCTTGCTTGAAAGACCCAGGGACTCATACAAACATAGGGTCAAAGTTTGAGGTCAGGATCCCCCGGGGGTGGGATGGGGCATGAAGCTCTACCTGCTGGCTTTCACAGGGTTGTTAGGGTCTGACTTAATCAGATGCTGGGTAAGTATTGGACCTTGGGTGGTCACAGAAGAGCAGCTGTTCCCCAATGTCCCCACTTTGCTCTGAGGTCTGTGCACTCACCTTCAGGTTGAACACGATATTACTGTCCTGGATAGCAGGGGACAGAAGGCCAAAGTCCAGGGCTCCAGGGCTCAGGGGAATGGGTGCTTCTCGGGGCAAGAAGAAAGTTTGTGAGGATGGAGGGTAGGGTTGGGTGGGTGATTTTTGTCTACTGCTTCCAGATAGGGATACTGCCAGAGTCAGGAAAAATGATGCTGTTGGTAGTAACTATGGCACAGATTACAGGGACCATTCAAAGAACCAGCACAGAGCTAGACTTTTACGTGTCTAACTGGAACCCATCCAGTCCTATGCCAAACCCGAAATGCTGTTTATAACCTGAGCCTCCCCCACCTCACTGTAACCCACTCCTCAAGGCATGTAGGGTCTAGGCATTGAACTCAGGTATTCACCCATTAGTTCATCCATTACCTGTTTGCTTTGGTTTTCCCCACTTGGTGGACAGGGGATGGAGACACCCATCTGCTCAGCAGTTGGATGGAGAATGAGAATGCATGTGCCTATCCGTGCCCTCCTCCAGCCCCTGTCCCTAAGATCAGAGCAGCTAGACTTGGGAACTCCCATGACAGTCCCCCACCCTCTTTCTCTTTCTCTCTCCCTCTCTCCCCCTCTCTCTCTCTCTCTCTCTCTCTCTCTCTCTCTCTCTCTCTCTCTCGTTCCTAGAGTCTCATACATGCTAGGTAAGCCATGGCCATACCAACTCACACCTAGTTGGAGCAGGAAGAATCAGGTTCCAGCCTTCTGTACCATGAATCTTCTCTGTGAGGAGATTTCCTCACATGTACAACCAGGCAATTGAGTGTACTGAGGAAGTGAGACAGAAATGCCCAGCCCTGGAATTAGCCCTGATATGCACTAGGGGCTTTACTTTGTTTACATTGCACTCTGGCTACCCTGTGACATGGTAGGGTTTTTTCCCCTCTTGTTGATTATCACTCTGAGAGGGTTGAGAAGGATCAATTTCCAAGGTTGCGGGCAGAAGCCCATATTGTCTTCTCTTTGCTGCTCTCAGGGAGAGAGAAATGGCATCTGTTCTGGAAACATAGCTCACTTCTGCCCTTGTTCCTTCCTCTAAGTAGCACACAGTGGCCATTCTACCATCCATCCATCCATCCATCCATCCATCCAGCATATATCTATTTTTAAACAATTCTGTTTTAGACAGAGTATTCTATATGTCCAGAACTTGCCCATAACCTTTAAGTGCTGGCAACAATCCTTTGAGGTTGGGAGGTAGAAAGCCTCATTTTACAGATGAGGAAACTGAGTAGAGTTTGGGTAGAGTGACTTTCCCCAAATCAAGGAGCAAGTCAGCAGCAGAGGTAGGCTTTAACTCAGCTCTACCTGAGTATCTGATCACATAGAGCAGTGGTTCTCAGCCTTTGGGGGTCGCATATCAGACATCCTGCATCAGATATTTGCATTACAATTCACAACACTAGCAAAATTACAGTTATGAAGTAGCAATGAGATAATTTCATGGTTGGAGGTCACCACAGCACTAGGAACTGTATTAATGGGTTGCAGCAATAGTTAGGTTAGAGAAACACTGTCTTAGAGCCTTGTACATATAAGGTGATCATGATGAAGCTACAGCATCTGGGCAGGACTTAACAAGTGCTTGTGCACTGGTGCTGGGCCCAAGGCGCTTATTGGACACGAGAGGGCGGTCTCTCTTGGATAAAAGTGGGGCCTGAAGTCCAAACCTATAGATAAAGGAAAGACAGTAGAGACAGCAGAGCCCCAACAGCCCCTACCTGTTGCCAGCCTCAGGAAGTCATTGTACATGTCATTGAAGGCTTGCTGGATGACAGGGCACAGCTGCAACAGCACAAATACAGGTCCATCAATGAAGAGCCAGACCCTTGCCCACAGTGTCCTGGGCTTCTCTCCCCCAACCCGAGTCTCACTGCAGTGCCCCAGCTAGTCAAATGTTCATCTGTGGAGTTGAGGACTCACAGCTTTGCCCGTCTCTGTCCCTCCTTGCTGTTCAGAGTCCATGGCTGTCCTAAGGCCCACCCAGGTCTTTTTTTTTTTTTTTTTTTTTTTTTTTTTTTTTTTTTTTGCAATGGTTTGCCCTTTGCCTTGTGCCCAGATTGTGCTTGGCCTGCCAGCCACGCTCCCTAAAGACACCCATGATACCTCAAAGGAGCCCACATTTCCTTAGATGAAGCCAAGAGTTCACTTGTTTATTCCATAAGAACTCACAGAGTTCTTCCCATGTCAGACTAGCACAGAGGCCAGCTGGGCTGCCCCACCAGATGCTAAACAATGTCTGAATCTTGGTGAGTTTCTGGCCCCAACATATCCCTGTGCCACCAAGGGGTTCTCCGCATAACATGGACAGCACCTCTCAACAGGGAACAATTTTGGTCTCTGGCAAGATACTGGGAGACATTTTTTTAGTTATCATAATGTAGCAGATGAACCATACTGACATCTAGTGGACAGAGTCAAGGATGCTACTACACACCCCTCCCCTCAGCCCAGCCTCTAAGTATCAAAATATCAGTAGCCTCAAGAGTCAGCGATGTGGAGTTAGCGGAAGGACCATCTCACTGGCTACCCCTTCAGTATTCTTGTGTGAGGGAGGGCAGTGCATTTTGAGAAATGCTAACTTGTGAACAGTGGTTCCCTGCTTCCAACAGCTTTCCTGACCTATGACCCAGAGAGGAGGAGGGATAGGTGGAGAGACGTCTGACTCACACAGCCAGGGGATGGATAGATTGTTCCCTGCAGGAAAGCAAGTGTTCCACACTTCCTCTCACAATTCCCTTCACTTCCTTTGACCTTGACCACACATCAGAGTCTGGGACATGAGATTCCCAACAGACCTATTGCTTCTGAATCTGGGGTTGGGTGGAACATCAATTTTTTTTTTTTAATAGCCTTCAGATAGTTGTGAAGCACAGCCTGGTTGAGAGCCATATCCACACGGAGAAGGGCTCCTCTGTGAGCTCCATCCAGAAGTCCCCTCCTCAGATGGCATTCTGAGTCACAACAATGACCACTGAACCCTGCCTCAAGTCACTGCAAATTCGTGAGTCAGAATCAGCTTAGAATTCCAAGTTCACCAATCTCTTCTGATGGGGAATGCATTTTTTTCTAATAAAATATGTTCCTGGGCAAAATTTTGAAAATATTTGCATCTGGGTCCTACTCCAAGAAACTCCTATTTTTAATCAGAAAAATAAAGTTCTTAAAAAATATATCTTCTGGTCATATTGGCACATACCTGTAATCCCCAACCTTGGCATGTGGAGACAGAAGGATCAGGAATTCAAGGCTAGTCTGGGCTACACAATACCCTTGACCCCACTCCTATAACATTCTCATATAAGTTGAGAACAGGCTATGCCCTTCTCTAAAATATTTGGAATGAAGGACGTGCATTCTTCTGGGCCAGATGACCAAGGAAGATGGGTTATCTGACAGATTGCTGCCATCAAAACCCCTGAACCTGCGAATTTATTGTTATTCAGCGACTTCTGACATCGTGGAAAGACACGCATGCCTTCATCTATGTTTCTGGCACAGCATGCTCATGATAGTGAGACAAGATCATTTAACAAAGTGATTTCTTTCCATTTCCCTTTAAAATACCTTTCTGGATATGCACCTCAACTAATGGTTCAGGGGTTACAATTCTAATAACAGTAAACAGTTGGCTTGAGTTAGAAGTCACATATATCTACTTATTCTCCCATTTTCTACTTACCTCTCCAACCTTTCCTCTTTCAAGAACCAGGAAGTTTGTTCCCTCCCCCTCTCTCCCCTCTTCCCCTCCCTTACTCTCTGAGGATTGATCCCAGGCCTCACACATGCCTGGCAAGTGCTCTCTCTACCCCTGAGCTACATCTCCACCCCTTTGGGTTTACTTTCAGTTTTGAGGAAGGATCTTGCCAAGTTACCTAGGCTGGCCTTGAACTTGCTCTATAACACAGGCAAGCATTGAATTTTTGTCCTTCTCTCTTAGCCTCCCAAGAAGCTGGGATTACAAGCCTATTCCAGACTGGCCAATGTTTTTTAAAATTAACTCTATAAAATATAAGATCCAGGGGCCTGGGGAGATGACTCAGCAGCTAAGAGTGTGCATTACTCTTCCAGGGGACCCAAATTCGATTCACAGCACCCACTCCAGGTGCTCAAACCTGCCTGCAATTCCAGCTCCAGGGATCAGATACTCCTGGCTTCAGTGGGCACCCATGTATGTAGAATATACTCCCTCTCACATGCACATGCATAGACATAAGATAAAGAATAAACTGGATCTTTGCAGTAAAATATCATTTGAGATTCTTTTTTTTTTTTGTGCTGGGCCTTGTGCATGCTAAGCAAGTACTTTATCACAAGGTGCATTCTTAGCCCTTAGGTTCTTGATAATTTAATTGTTTTCTTTGCTCTCTGTAACAATTAGACAATTAGTCTACTAATAGCAGATTCAGTAGACTGTTTCCCAGCATAGAAACAGGGATTTAGTCAAGATTTAACAAGAATGGATAAAAAAGCCCAAACTAAACCAAACACAATTTGGTATTGTAAGTAGACCATGATTAACAGATGCGAGATGCTACACTGTAATTTTCTTAAAGGTGATTTAGTAGGATTTGATACAATTTTGAACAGTTTGGAGGGAAACTGATACTCCATTGTTTTGAATAAAATCCCATCAAGCATATGAAATATTGTTTTAAATATCACTATTGTTTTAAAGTAATCTTAATTAAAAAGTTATCTTGACACACAGTTAAATATGATCCAGCTATTATAACAATAATAACAATAAGGACATAGAACATCAGGCGCAGTCATATGAAAACATGACGGCCTGAAGATGGAGCTGGAGATACACAAATGGCCAAACAGCTGCTGGATTGGACTGGACACATTATGAATATTTTCTTCCTAACTCGTGTTAGTTATTATGTCATCTTTTTCATTAAAACATTAACATGATATCAATGAGACTAATGACAGCTTGCAGGCTTATGGTTAAGAAATGACTGCTTGACGAGGGGATCTGAGCCCTCTGGGTAAGTACTGAAGTGAATGCATCTTGACTTTACAATGGAAATCACAGGTAAATATGAATGGATCCACTTATGACATTTTAGTTTACCTGTGGCATATCAGGGACATATAAAATGAGTCACTGGGGTTGCAGGTGCCTTCTGTTGTAGGATGCTTGCCTAGCAGGAGCCCTGGGTTCTATCCCCCGCACACACACACACACACACACACACACACACACACACACACACACAGAGCCCAAGTTTACTGACACAGAAGAAATAAATGCAGCTGACCTGGTGGGCTGCAGTGCCTACAAACCACACCTGGACAGCTGAGCAGGGGCATGCCACAGCCTGCTTATGAAAGTATTCCAGGGCAAAATTCTGGATGTTCAGGGATTTCTAGCTTGGTTTTTAAAAGTAAAGTATACAGATTTACATTAAAAGATACTAAAATAAGTTTAATAAAGGCAGAAAATGCATCGCTTCCTAAGTATTTTGCTTAGCATCCACTGTTGTCTGTTGCTCTTGAGGTACTTCCTACTGTCTGTCTGGTGACAGTACTACACAGGAGCATGCCACTGGCACCTTCTTCCAGTTTGGCTCCTTAACATCTCTTTAATAGAGTAAAGTCAGCCTGGAGATAGGATTTATAATTGGGAAGTCAGCAAAAGCTACAAGTAGTGTTCCCTCCCTCAACTCTTGTAGAGACAAGTGTTAAAAGTTTAGTCAGCACACTACCTACTAAAGCCTCCTGGCCTTTTGGCTGTTCTGTTACATTGACCTCAATGATCTCACTGGCTCAGTGACTCAATTCATTGGCTCAGTGGTTCTTTGCTTTGTTGAAGGAATTATTCAGTCCCAGAAGGATCCCACCCCAAGAGACCTAACTTATTTGGCACCAGTTTGCAGTTCCACCTTTGTCCTATAGGGGTGCCATCTCCGTAGGCCAGAGGCCTAATTTTACTCACGTGGTTTTTCACCATTTGGGGCAGGGCTGGCACCAGGATATTCATGACTTTATTTGCCAAGGAGTTGACCATGAAGGAGAGCCTTTGGCAAAGGAGAGTGGGATATTAGGATGTTTATAAGAGAGAATTTTCCCTGCTTTATAGAGGTGACATGGAATCTTGGGAAGAAGGAGTTAGCTCAAGTTTACCCAGGGTGTTAGCCAAAGCTGCGGAAGGGCCAAGCTGAAGGCAGACATTGGCCTGGGTATTGTCTGTACAGATCTGTGCTGACATTAGGATCCCGGAGCTGACAGATCACCTGAGAGCTGACATGCACTCTTACAGTAAGTCATTCTTGCTGCTTGGAAAGTGTCATCAGCAGCCTTTTCCAGACCAGGAAAGTGAAACGCAGGAGGCTGACTCGCCCAACATCACCCAGGCAGGCAGTCAAGGAAGAAGGCAAGCTTGCTTTGGGTCCACCTATGTCTGCCTGGGTGGCCTGGGAGCCCTAGATGGAAGCTCTGCTCTGTCTGCAGGTGTTTGCTCCATACCCACTCCACCCACCCCTACCCTACCCTGACCATACCTCTACCGCTACACTCACCCCTACACCCACCCTCCCGTCCTGGTATCACGGCACCATTGCTTCTTTCATCTTTGCCATCCAGAAGAGCTTTGGCATCCCCGATTCTCGGGAAGGAGCCTCAGATCTAGAGTCAGGAGGGACACGGGGGGGGGGGGGGGGCCAGGCTACAGTCTGCTTCTGCCAGCATGATGGAACCCAGCACTCACTTGTTCAGCAGGCTGAGGCGCAGGGTGTGGGAACTGCTGGAGCAGTCACTAAGGTTGAGGTGGGCGGGGCCGCTCTTGCTTTTCTCCACTCGGATGAGGGCTTGGATCTCAGTGTTCATTTGGAACTGCACCATGGTCTTGACCAGTGGCCTGGAGGACAACAGCAGTGACAGTGAGTGCTGCTCAAGCCCACATGGGAGCCACAGCTGGATGTCTGTCCCTCACCATCTTTTTGGCTGGTTCCCCTTGTCCCTCCAACATCTGGATTCCTCCCCTGAGCGCACCCATTATGGATGCCATGGGGTTCCAAGCCACGCGCTCTGCCCCACTCATGTCCTCTGAGTTCCTTCAGGATAGCATGGCAGCAGTGGATTCCACATAATCCCCTGGCCTGCCACTTTCAAGCTTTGTCGTCTTGGATGCTGGCCGCTCTTCCCAAATTGATGTGGGAGCAAATTCTGAAGTAATCCTTGATCTTTCTCCCTCTCCATATTCTACTCGCCAGGAATCCCTATGTCTACCTGTTTCCACCACACAGCTAGAATCTGATTACTCCTCTGCTCATCTGGCCTATGCCATCACTCTCTCCTATAGAGCGGCTGAAGGACCTGCCATGGGGCATTCCCACCTCCACTCTGCCCCACACTTTCCCCCATGGCTCTTCCTTGGCTCAGACTGCTCCATAAAAGCCAAGTTCTCGTCTTGGTTTGTAAAGCCTTGCATCATCCGGCTTTAGCCGCTTGCTGATCTCATCTCATACCACACCCCCCTCCTCTTTGTCATTTTTGAGCAAGGCAAGTACATTCCTGCCTCAGGGCCTTTGCACTTGCTCTTGTCACTCTTAGATTCATTTCCAGATGTCTGCGTGGAGGGAGAGAGTGAGCAGATGAAGCTGTTAGGTTAGCTGTGTTGGATTCAGGGAACACTCACGTGTTGAGTCCAGACACCATGTCCAGGGGGATTCTGACTACCAGCTCCTGGTCATAGGCTGAAGGCTGCACAGCCAGCTGGAGGATGTTAGCTGAGGTGACCTTCATCCTGGACAGGGTGCAGGGGAGATGGAATCGTGCTCATGCTCAGATGAGTGTCACCCCTAAGCCTGTTCCATCCTCTTTCCTGACTTGGACACACCTGCCCAGACCCCAAGCCCAGTCTATTAATCCTCTCTCACGGTCCTACCTCTGTCTCTCCCCATCACCCTTGCTTCTCTCTCTGCATGTTCCTTGACTTTTAGCCTCAGCCCGTTGGGCTGCCAGTAAGGCCCCCCTGGGACCCAACCCTACTGGCCTGTCACTCTTTGCTGTGGGGGTTTGAAATGCAGTCATTCTGACTCTTGCCCCTCCATGGTTTTGCCCTACTGGTCCCTTTGCCTGGAATGCCAGTTTCTTGGTGTCTCAGGCTTAGCCATGACCTCCACTAAGAAGCATCTCCTGGTCCTGGCACTGTTCCACCTGGGGCTACCTTCTTATGTGGCTGCCCTCTTGAAGCACCAGTGACACTGCCTTATAGTCACCACTATCAATTCTGGGGGCTTTTCAAAGAGGAACTTAGTTTCTTCACTAAGGGTTGTTGACTGAGAACTGAGCAAGCAGCGTACTTGGGCAGGGGTGTGGGAAAGAGATGGCTCCCGGCCCTGTGCCACTCACCAGATGATGTATCGGAGGAAAGACTGCACTAGGCTGTCCAGCATGGGGATGCTCCCAGACCTATCCCGCATGGCACTGAGCAGGGGCAACTCATGGAGGATGGCAGTGGCATGGTTATTCTTCAGTGCCTGGGTCAGGTCTGCAGATAGATCCAGGGATTAGAGGTCAAGAGGAGGTTAAGGATGGCCTTTGCTCAGGACTCCTTGGACCTGACATTAGGTGAGGGTGGTGTCCTTGAGCGAATGGGAGCCCTCACACTCAGACTGTTGCCAGTCACTGCTGGAGTGCTGGACCTGTATCCTCCCTCTCTCCAGCCAGTGCCAAATGCTTCTTGAGCGGCTTAGCCCATCAGGGACAGTTTTGTGGCCAAATCACACTCACTAATGATCTCCTGGCATCCTCAGTGTCTGTCCTGTTGTCCAAAGCACCTTAGGTGCTAAGCAGAGAAAGCAAGAAATGAGAATCATGGCCTCGGGGCTGGTCCCTCTGACTTTTCAGCAGTGGCCAGAGGCCATTCCATAGACAGTGTTCTAGGGCTGTGCCAGGCTCAGTGTTTCACAGTCCTCCTGTCATTCCCACTTGCCTAGTCTGTGCTAATTGGGCTGCACTCATTAGCATTTTTCTTTGCCAGTTGGAAGTCTTAAATTTACCCCATCAGCATAGGTACTCAGGGGACATGGAGGGGCAAATCCTTGAACCATGCCTCTCATCAGTTCCTGTGGTGTCAGTGCCCAGGTGACGTTGAATTGCCAGTTAACAGGGCTCCTGAAGGCTGAGAGTAAGCCCTGGGGTCCTCTGGCAAGCTTCCGGGGTCATGCAGAGATGGTCCTCTGGAGAGATGTAACAACTTCTCCCTCCAGGGGCATCAGCCAAAGGACACCATCAGCTGAGGGTAGGGTGTGCTCTGTAGCTTTTGCTTGCCTGCATCAGGCTGGCGCTGGCCTAGTGCAACCCAGCCCAGGTTCCCTCCATCCAACAGGCCTTAGGCACACCCAGTCCTAGGCAGTCTTGGGAGGGGCTCTGACTGTGAGTGTGTTCTATGCTTGGTGCCACCTTATTGCGGGGTGCCCTTTAGAGTTAGTTCTCTTTCTCCCCCTTAGCCAAATCCTCCTCTCTCTGATGCCCCATTGTAGTCCTTTACATTAAACACCTTTCCCAAGGTTTATGGTGTGGCTTTTATCTTCTGATGGAGTTAACAGGTACAGTTGCCTGGTGGCTCCTGGCCCTTAGTGGTTGCTTACTTGAGTGGGTCCATTGACTCTTCTGCAGGGGATCCTGGGAATCACCTCCCAAACTGCCACCAGTAATAACTCCTTGGCTGCACACCATGCTCGCTCACCCAAGCTCCCTGAAGATACCACATGCTTGGGAGTCACAGGATGGGCCTCAGGTAGGCCATCTGCTTCCCCAGCCTTTGCAACAGTGCTTGCCCACCAGGTAATTGCCACATTGCCATAGGAGATACGTGTGGAAGGTATCTCCTGGGTGGAAGGTGCTTCCAAGTGTCTTCTAGCACACAGAACTGTTCCCCATGCCAGAGAGGAGCTGGGGAGAAGGCTACCCAGAGCCCCTGTGACCCTCCTCAGTTCCTATGGTGTTGGGAGTTCTGGTTGGCCCAGGGAGGAAGGCCTTCCTCTGTGCTCCAGGAGAGTGAGCCTAGGCCCAGGGTCATGGAGCTGGAGTAGCCAACCTGTGTGTGCGACTGAGGCCCACAGACTCTGCCCAGGCCTCTGCTTTGGGGGTCAGGAACATGCTAGATCTTAACTCTGTTGATGGGAGTTCAGACAAGGACAGGGTTGGGGTGCTTCCCTGCAGGCAATGGCCACATACCACTCATAAGGCTCCCAGATCCCCAGGGTTTTTGGAATAATACTGTTTGAAGACATCTTGGCATCACAGGCTCTTGAGATAATAATATCCCAGTACTTCATACTCAACCACTACTCTTGTCTCACTCAAGTCCTGGACTCCACCCATGCCTGATGCACGCTTTTGACGAGAAACTCCCCTCCTTTATGGAGTACTGCCCTTGCTTTATGGTGGTGAGGCTCGGTGGAGGGGGTCATGACTTACGTTCCTTGATGACTTCTGGGCCGAGGTTGAGCACTGCAGGGGGACGAAGGTCAGCTTGGACCAATGTGGCTCCCAGAAAACCACAGAGGAAGGTGACAATCCACGGGCCAGCCATCTTCATGGGTGTTGATGAGAAGTAGGTGTCTGGTAGCAGGGCCTAGGGTAAGCACAAAGGGCCTTGCTAGCTGGAGAGAGAGGCCCACGCCTGGAGCACAGTGTCCAGAAGAGGCATTCAGGGCAATGGGTAAGAACCAAGGCTTAGTTGTGCACACTTGAATAATCAGGCAAGGCATGAATACCTCTGTGCCTCAGGGTTCTCCTCTGGTGAGTGAATGGGATGAGGCTTCACTTCATAGTCTCTGGGATTAACAGTTAGTATCTAGAAATCATTCAGTGTGGTGTTTTCCCCACAGGAAGAGCTTGGGAGACATTAACAGTTTTCAGTGACTACTGACACTGGCACCAGAGGAAACCATGCCACAGTCAAAGCAAGGGTGGGGGGCAGAGCTGACAATCTGCATTGGTTGACAAGGCAAACCATACCCCCAAACCACGTTTTTGTTTTCCAAACACTTTGGCCCCTGTTTGTCCCCTTCTCCTGCCCGCTGCTCAGCCTCCTGATCAGGATTCTGAACCCAGGACTTGTAGTGTTGCTTCTCATGGGAGACATCGTCTCCCTCAAATCCCAGCCTGTGCTCACCCTCCACGTGGTCCTCAGCCCCTCCCTCTTCATGGATGCTTTTTGCTCCTTTCTAGCATCCACTCAGCTTTGCATCCCACATGCCCCCTCTTCCAGGAAGCCTCCTCTGACTGCCCTCTCTCTGGTCCTAGACCTTCCTTAAACACAGTAAGCCCACAACGGTCCCTTGGGATTTCTTTGACAGCTGCTGTGACTGATGCTTCTGTTTGTTCCCAGAAACAAATCAGCACACACAGACATTGCACAGCCAGTGTATGCAAAGGGGGTGGAAGTTCCTAGACTGAGGACTGGGAAAAACCAGCCTGCCTCATGCCTCCATCTTTGCTCATGGCTTTGGATGAGAGAACCAGCACCTCTCTGCCTCTCCCCTTGGCTCCCAGAAACCACAGCTGACAGAGGCATTATCAGGCTCCTCAGTTCTCCCTCAGCAGTTGGGCTGGTCTCAGCAGGTGTTCCCTGTGAGGAGCATTCTTGACTGCCCAGGCTTCTATCCGCCCCACACTTTACCTGGAAGTGCTAGAGTCCTGGGTCTACCCTCTCTTCTCCTGGGTGGTGGGTCTGGAGACCCAGCCTTATATTTTGCAATCCCAACCTGGGCAGCTACCTGAGCATGTGGGCCAAGAACTCAGGCTGGGCTGAGGTCTCCAAGGTAAATATTTGCAGCTCTTGGTGAACCAGAGCCCTTCCTGGAGGCAGTCTAGGAGCTGCAGCTTCCTGAGGTTTGCAGAAAGGAGGGTCCAAGCTGGCTGGAGGGGCAGAGGGAGCACTGGGGCATAAGACAGGAAGGTGACCCAGGCAACAGCAAGCCTCATAAGGGGCTCCCTGCATCCTGGGCAGTCACTGACATGGGACCATGCAGGGTTCTTTGTAACCTTCATAGCCAGCAGAATCATGATCTGCAGGAAGCAAGAAGGCAGTTCAGTTCAGTATGACTCAGTAGCTGGTGTTGATTCAGACTTCTGGAGTCTGACCCTGGGTAGTTTATTTTAGGCATATTTAAACACAGCAATAATTGCTGAAAACTTATTCTTGTGACAATTAACTGAGTCTTGCATTCACAAGAAAGCATACATAAGTCTCTTTGAGGAACAGAGCAAGCTAACTATAAATCAGACGTGATTATATTGAAACTCTTGTAAAGTCTATAAAGATAGGTTTTATAGGCTGACCAAGAAAAACAAATTTACAATAAGGGTCTTGTGGTGGGGGGACCTGGTGCCAGGAAAAGTCTCTAGCCACAGAGATAGAGCAAAGGTCACCAGGATAGTAAACATGTCCTCTCTCAGCATTTTGGGAGGATAGCAGGCTATGCATTCCGTCCCCTGAAGGAATAGCCCTGTGTGTTTAATTTTCCAGGTTCCCCTAGTACTTCTCTATGAGCACACAGACTTCTACAGCACCATAATGACCACAGTAGCAGTGGCCATGTATGAGCATCTCTGACATGGCAGGCATCATTTGTGTTCTCCGTCAGTTGGGTCGATGGGCGTCATTCTCATGTGTGGTCAGCCAGTAATCCTGATATCAGTGATGAGGAACCAGCCGCCACAGTCAGCCAACAGAAGAGCAAGGATTCCAAGCAGAAATCTGGCTTGAGAAGCCATCTGAGGACATCTCCATAGTTTGGTAGACACAGGATGTATGTTAGGGGACAGGCCAGGTTCAAGTCTTCACCGTTTTCACTCTGAGTTTCTTGGGATTCTGAGCCTCTCTGTTTCCATATGTGAAATGGGCATGCTCAAGCTCCTCTTCCTTAGAGGGTACCTCTGCTACTTCTTTGCTCTGCTACCCTGGGCAAAGTGATTTACTTCCCAGGGCCTCTCTAACCTCCTTGGTACAATGGGGTTGATGGTAATGCTGTCCATCAGGCTGGCGAGAGCATCAGCTGAGCTATGGGCCATATGCCCTTGTCACTTTCATTTAGTTATTTTATGGCCTGAGCACTTCTCTGCCTTACTTACACTGCCAGGAATGCAGTGGATGTTTGTGGAGTGAAAGAATAATGAGTGATAGACTGTGGACCAAGGGACGAGTGTGAACTGGCCAGTCATTCCTGCCTGGGTAAAGGCTAGTCTCCTTTAGCCACACAGTACCGGAGAGGAATTAACATTCCTGATTTTCCCAGGAGTATTGGAGGCTCAGGGGATAGAGGTTTGCTCAAGGTCACAGGACCAAGGGTGTCAGAGAGGAGACTTGAGCACCTAGTGCAGGCCACACACTCTAACCACACTGTCCAGTGATCCCTGCTTAATGTTAGGGTCAGTAGGTATAAAGATGTGACCTTTGGATACCACCTGGGCACATGTCTTGGCTTCTGTCTGTAAGCGATAAACTATGGATTAAGGCTAGGGGATCTATTGTTGAGTCTTGTGCCCATCTGCAGTGTGATGAGAAAGGGGCAGTATCTATGAGGTCACAGATGCCCTGGTTGGTCACGGAGGAAAACGTGGTTTGCATCCTGCCATGTCTGGAACACTCAATAGGTCCCAAACACCAAAGGCAAGCTTCTCCAGAGCCAGAAGGGCTCCCTGGAAGGACCCTGCCAGTGCCTCAGGCACATGTGCAGAGACACACGCCCCAGCTTGGCTCCTTAGTCACCATGCCTGCTGCCCAGGGACAATGTCCCTCTGTGGGGAGGTGGAGCTGGTGCCAAGGCCAATGCCCACATCTGCTCCAGCTTCCTGCCTGTTGGCTTGGCCTGTCAGGGTTCAACAGGCATCGTGCACCCCTTGGGCTGTGTACCTGGTCTCATGTGGCCCTGCCCTGCACACCTCCCTCTGGTCTCATTTCTCACAGTTCCTTACTTTCTTTGAGTGCATCTCCTCCCTGGAACTCCTCCCATCTCACAAAAGCTCCTTTATGGGCCTGGAGAGGTGGCTTAGTTGTTAAGAGCCCTGGCAGCTCTTACAGAGGACCTGGGTTTGATTCCTAGCACCCACATGGCAGCTCACAACTGTTTGCAAGTGCAGTTCCAGGGGATCCAGTACCCTCTTCTGACCTCTGTACACCAGACACACACTTGGTACACAGACATGCATGCAGACAAAACAGCCATATGTGTATATATGTAATAAAATAAAATAAAAATTTTAAATTAAATAAAAAAAGATCCTCTGTGGTGGTGGCCAGAAGGAAACTTTGGAGTTGGAGACATGACTTTCACTCTTTCCTGTGCCATGGCTGTGGCCTTGCTGAACACTACTCCCTTCTGAGGAGAAAATGCCTGGATCATCACCCACTGAGTGACAATTCCACCCCCATGACAGAGCTGCCCTCACCAGCCACCTTCAAGGTTCAATCCGGAAGTGGATATCTGTCTAGCCTGGTCCCTGTCCTCTTACCCCCTGTGAGTCCTCAAAGCCCATACTCAATTCTCGAGATATGAACCCTGTGCTTTGAGGGCTGTTATCTGCCTTCTGTCCTTCCATTATCCCTCTTTCCTTCAGTCTTTTAAAAGTTACGTATTTATTTCATGTGTGTGCATGTGTGTATGTGTGTGCACATCTGTGGATGTGGTGTGTGTGTGTGCATGTGTGTGTGTGTGAGCATGTCTATGTATGCAGAGGCCAGAGGTTGAGGTCAGTTGTCTACTTCTGTTGCTATACCCTCCAGGACTCTCTATCTTATTATTTTATTGTCTTTTAAAAGGATATTTATTTTTAATTTTTATTTATGTGTCTGTGTGAAGTATGTCACGTGCGTGGAGATACCCATGGAGGCCAGATGAGGACAGTTGCAGGCAGTTATGAGTCACTCAGGTCCTCTGGAAGAGCAGCAAATTCTCTAACTATGGAGCCACCTTTCTAGCCCCCATGTCCATCTTATGTTTTGAGGCACTCTGTCACTGACCCCGGAGCTCACTGACTCAACCAGGCAGGTTGGGTGGTGAGTACCCAGAACCTGCCTGTTTCTGGCCCTGGCCAGTGCTGGCATCAGACACATGCTGCTGTATCGGGTTTTTCTGTGGGTGCTGGGGATCCAAACTCAGGTCCACATGCTTGCACAACAGCAACTTTATGCACTGAGCCATCCCCCTGCTTCTGCCCTCCTCTATTCTTATGCAGGCCCTCTTGGTCTCTGGGTCTCCACCTTTAAGCCCCTGTTACCAAAAGTCCAATTCTCCCCAGCAGCCAGTGGCCCTTGGTAAACTATGCAAAGTCTTGGTGAAACTTGCCAAAGCCTGCAGTGCTCTTGCACGAGAACCAAGCTCTATAAGACCCAACGTGATTGACTCCTCATCTAATTCCTCATTTCTCACCAGGCTGCCCTTGTTTCCTTTCATTCCCACCCCAGGGCTTTTGCACATGCTGAACCTTCTCCCAGGCTGGCTCCCTCTCCTCTACCAAGTCTCAGCCTCTTTGCTTGTCACCCAGCTAGGGCAGGGTGCTTCTGACTATATGCTGGTGGGTGTCCATACCAGA